CACAGCTGTAATTATCTTATCTCACGTTTTAATCTCATGGATTAGAGCCGGAATGCTATTTAGTGCTTTACAGAAAGCCAGCGGATCACGGAGGAATTCTTGGGATGAATGCGAACGGCTTTCTTCACTGACAAGAACACTTTTTGTCCTCGCTGATGTGGATGAACCAGCCAGAGACTGAGCAGTTTTGTGTATTCCAGACGGGACGCGGTAAGATGGACGTTTGTGTTGACGACAGATACTCGACCTCTTCTCAACTCAAACATCAGCCTGGAGTATTTGCAAGGGGAACATTGTAATATAAGTGTATTGTAAATCCAGTCAGGTGTCGCACACAAACGCACCTTCAGCAGTTCCCTCTGAGGCGCCAATGCTGGATGAATGGGTGTAAATTTTCAACGAGCACTTCCTCTTTGTGCAGTACTCTGATTTATGTTTTTTTTTCCCAATAGTAATATCATGCATTCTACTTCGAAATCTCGCCCTCATGTTTATATTTACGACGTACAACATCCTGGAAGTGTTTGCATGTGTTTTAAACATTTATAGTAAATTTATTACGTTTTTAATGGTTGATCAGCGTTAGCAAACAACAGTAAATTTAAACTGGCCTTTGAATGGAAGAATTCTGGGAAATGGAGGATAATAAATCCTAACATAAGAATCCTTCTGAAGTTAATGTTCAGCCAGATGTTCTCAAAGATAAAGTTTAAGAGAATAACACTTGATTGTATCTTTTTTCCCTGTATCCATCAGGGTTTAAAAAGTTAAATTTTATTTTAGTTTTAAATAAATCAGATGTTATCAAGTGTGTGGTTTTGTTTGGGACAATTATTACCAAATTAAATATTCATGGGTTGAATTTTGTGCTAATTTAAAGGAAGTTCACCCCAATAAATTGATTGAATTGTTTTACCCGATCTCTTTGCCATAAAATGACAAAACAGTAGTGACCATTTAAATTTTATTTTTAATTTAATATATTAAAATAGATTTAATTGTTATAAAAAGTTAAAGTTTTATAAATTTTGTCATTTTTATTTTATCATTTTATTATATCTATATAGCTTAGTAATAAACTATATTTCAGTTCAAGTTAAACTAAACATAAATATTACATTTTTATATTAAATATTAAAATGTAAATGTTGCCTCAGAAACCAAGTGAAAAAAAATATTTTATTTTAAATTTATAGATTTTATTTCAAATAACACTTTTTTTATGGTTTTAGTTTTAATTTTCAGCCTTCAGTTTTGAGTGAATAAACAATGTCAAAGTGCAAAAAAAGGGCTCAGTGCATTTTAAAATCTACAAAGGAACATAATGTCAAAATAGGCTGAACTATTCCTTTAAAAACAAACTTTTTACCCATCATGCTCTGTTACCCTCCTCCAGTCTGGTGCATTAATGCTGTGCTAAAAGACCATTAACAAGGCTCTTTGTACTTTATAGACTCATCTTCTTTTTAATTTCTTTTTTTAATTATCCGGCCTTGGATGCCGCCTCCTCCTCAGGTCTCTCAGGGGCTCCCTGTAGCGTTCACGGTTGCAGCGTCATCTGACTTCTGTCATCTCATGCGTTAAACGAATCTCGCGTTGGGTTCGGGGACCTGGTTTTTCAGAGCGGCGCCTGCTGTCTCATCACAGACAAACAGTGGCTGGGGTGCTAAATATAGCTGCCGCTGGAGTGGCGCTCCTGTGATCAGGTGCTTTGTGTGCAAGCTCTGAAACATTCATGTTCATTGATTCTTATGAAGGTATTAGTTTTTGATTAATTTTCTCACAATGTTTGAAGAAAACATTGTAAGAATCAATTCTTCTTTTAATATTACATTTTTTTAAGCTGGTAACAAAGTTCTCAAGTTGAAGTTTAAAAGGACGTTTCTGTAATAGAAAGCCAGCGGTGTAGACTTTTGATACGGTAAGAGCTACATGATTTTTAAAATGCCATTTAAAATTTCATAATTGTCTAGTAGCAAACGGCTTCCATTAATTTGCATGCTAAAGTCTAGAAAAAAATTGTTTTCTAATGAATAATAATGTTCCTATATTAAGTTGTTCATAAAAATGACATTGACAGAATGTTTTCAACGTTATCCTAAACTTGAAACATTCTAATAATGTTCAAACATTCTAAAAATGTATAAACCCGGATTTTAAACTCAAGTAGAGTGAATTTGTGAAAATTTGTTCATAAAAACATTCATTCTGAAATGGTCAAATTCTTGTAAATTTCTAACAACATAAATGGTTTTCAGAGCATTTTTAGCATTTCTTCAAGTACGTCATTAGAAATTCACATATTTGTGTTTATGCAACATTTATGCAATAATTTACACTACCGTTCAGAAGTTGGGGTTGGTAAGATTGCATTTAGAAAGCTGCATTTATTTGATCAAAATACAGTAAAAACCGTAATATTGTCAAATATTATTACAATTTAAAAGAACTGTTTTCTGTGTGGATATATAGTAAAATGTAAATTATTCCTGTGATCAAAGCTGAATTTTCAGCATCATTACTCCAGTCTTCAGTAGGGCTGGGTATCGTTCAAAAATTTTCGATGCCGATACCTTGACTTCGATACCGGTTCCTGAACGATACTTTTTTCGATACCAATTTTATGAAATCAATTTTAACAAGATTACATTACATTATCTAAAAAAAAAAAACTTTGATTTTATTTTTCAGCTTGTTGATGTTTATACAGACTCAAAGACTCATCTCCTGAACCACTGCTCAAAGGAACAAAATGTAACCAACACAATAAATCAGTGCAAATAGTTTTAATAAAGCTCAAATAGTCTTCAGTTTACACATCTGTTAGGCTACATTTACACTAGTAAATGTTGATTTAATTGTATGATTTTTGTTTTAAAACGCATAGCTCAGACAGAATCATGATTTCTATTTATTTTCCACTGATTTACTGATGAGCATTAGCAGCTTCCAGCGCTGTCTGC